AACCCAAACACAAGGTAGCTACTGTTAACCGTTGAGGAGTTCCCTCAACTATCGTACTACTTCATCATCAGACCCTTATTGACAATTACACACCCCTCAGGTGTAAAGTCCTCATCAATACAAATTAATCAAACCCAAACACAAGGTAGCTACTGTTAACCGTTGAGGAGTTCCCTCAACTATCGTACTACTTCATCATCAGACCCTTATTGACAATTACACCCCACTCAGGTGTAAAGTCCTCATCAATACAAATTAATCAAACCCAAACACAAGGTAGCTACTGTTAACCGTTGAGGAGTTCCCTCAACTATCGTACTACTTCATCATCAGACCCTTATTGACAATTACACCCCACTCAGGTGTAAAGTCCTCATCAATACAAATTAATCAAACCCAAACACAAGGTAGCTACTGTTAACCGTTGAGGAGTTCCCTCAACTATCGTACTACTTCATCATCAGACCCTTATTGACAATTACACCCCACTCAGGTGTAAAGTCCTCATCAATACAAATTAATCAAACCCAAACACAAGGTAGCTACTGTTAACCGTTGAGGAGTTCCCTCAACTATCGTACTACTCATCATCAGACCCTTATTGACAATTACACCCCACTCAGGTGTAAAGTCCTCATCAATACAAATTAATCAAACCCAAACACAAGGTAGCTAGTGTTAACCTTTGAGGAGTTCCCTCAACTATCGTACTACTTCATCATCAGACCCTTATTGTCAATTAAACCCCACTCAGGTGTAAAGTCCTCATTAATATAAATTAATCAAACCCAAACACAAGGTAGCTACTGTTAACCGTTGAGGAGTTCCCTCAACTATCGTACTACTTCATCATCAAACCCTTATTGACAATTACACCCCACTCAGTGTAAAGTCCTCATCAATACAAATTAATCAAACCCAAACACAAGGTAGCTACTGTTAACCGTTGAGGAGTTCCCTCAACTATCGTACTACTTCATCATCAGACCCTTATTGACAATTACACCCCACTCAGGTGTAAAGTCCTCATGAATACAAATTAATCAAACCCAAACACAAGGTAGCTAGTGTTAACCTTTGAGGAGTTCCCTCAACTATCGTACTACTTCATCATCAGACCCTTATTGTCAATTACACTCCACACAGGTGTAAAGTCCTCATTAATACAAATTAATCAAACCCAAACACAAGGTAGCTACTGTTAACCGTTGAGGAGTTCCCTCAACTATCGTACTACTTCATCATCAAACCCTTATTGACAATTACACCCCACTCAGGTGTAAAGTCCTCATCAATACAAATTAATCAAACCCAAACACAAAGTAGCTACTGTTAACCGTTAAGGAGTTCCCTCAACTATCGTGCTACTTCATCATCAGACCCTTATTGACAATTACAGCCCACTCAGGTGTAAAGTCCTCATCAATATAAATTAATCAAACCCAAACACAAGGTAGCTACTGTTAACCGTTGAGGAGTTCCTTCGACTATTGTACTACTTCATCATCAGACCCTTATTGACAATTACATCCCACACAGGTGTAAAGTCCTCATCAATACAAATTAATCAAACCCAAACACAAGGTAGCTACTGTTAACCGTTGAGGACTTCCCTCAACTGGCTCTCGGCTCCATCATCAGATCGGCTCCAGACCTTTATCAGATTGTAGTGGTTTTTAATACTTAATGAAAAAATTAACAAATGCCCTAGTTACCCCTATAATTTTTAAAAGTTCCCCTCGGTTTCCCTGGTCTTCCATCATCAGATCCTGATTTCCTTATCATGGGACCATTCTGGAACTATCTCCTTTCTAACAAAAAAAAGAATTTTTAAAATCGGTTTATAAACAACGGAGATATCGGCGAACAAACATAAAAAAAAAAAAAAAAAAAAGCATATTATATACGGTCGAATTGAGAACCTCCTCCTCCTTTTTTTGAAGTCGGTTAAAAAATATCAGACATGTATTTTTTACTTTGTCGTATAAGGAAACAATACTTAGATATACGAACCGCGATCGAGCTCACTTCGAGAGTTCAAAATGACATCTCACAGAATAGTCACGTCACGTGCTGCTGGTCACGTTTACCGGTATTTTCTACACTAATATTATAAAGAGGAAAGATTTGTACCTATTTTTGTATGTTTGTAATGAATAGGCTCAAAAAGTACTGTGCCGATTTAAAAAATTATTTCACCAATAGTACGCTACATTCTTCCAATTTGACATAGGCATACATTTCATTTAGAAAAAAAAAGCTACCCCGTGCGGAGCCGGGGCGGGCTGCTAGTAATCTATAATGCCATTTGGTATCGCTATCATTCATTCATTAACAATACAAAGCTCATAGATAGTCTTATCTTTCGAAGGTGGTGTAGAATGAGATATAGCCGCTTTGGGATATAGGTAGGTACCCATTGTCTCTTTAATTATGTCTTTTGTATTTCTGGGAACAATAACGAGTACCTAGTACCTACCATATAATTCTGTAGATTATAAGGTGAATAGATACCTACTTACATTTGACGTAGTATTACATGAAGTATTTAAAATGTAGCCAAAAGGCATGGTAATTTTTTTGGCTGTATCAATTACAAAAGCAGCGTATTTAATTTAGTCTGGTCATTAGTTTAGTTTAGGTAATTCAGTTGCGTGGTATAAAATAAAATATGTATAATATCAATTAGGTGTAGTGACCGCACGGTTGTGGTTGGTGCAGTGGTTTAGTGACCGGCTGCTGTGTATGGAACAATTCTATGCGGAAATTGAAACAGCAATCTGTATGAAATCTACAACTACCTATGTAAGTATGTACATGAAATTATAATTTTGTAAACGCAGAACATGAAAATACCATTGTATCTCAAATCTCATTGTATTAAAATGTAACTTGATGATCTTTTTATATAGAGGTACATCTTTAGGTACAGCTAGTCCAGTTTATGATTTTTATAAATTAGATAGAGCTATTGTTTTGAATAGCAGCGTTAAACCTTCATTTCTCCTATTACCATGATTACACTAAAACAATGTTCTTATTAGTGACTGTTTGAATAGCAAAATATCCCGCTAACTGACTTGAATAAGTTTTGAATGTAACCTTCTCAAAATTAACATTATAACATTCTTATCGTATTATTTATTTATTTAATTCAACAACACATCCTGACAGGTTACACCCAATGCGATAATGTTGTCACTTAATATAAAAACTTATAATTAACATTAATAAAAAAAACTTAAATAAAAACTTAATACAAAAACTTATAACAACAACACAGCCATACATATTATTTGCACCTATCCATTAACTACATATGTACAACTAACAACATCAGTCGTTACCTTTATGAACTCCGCCAATGACCAACAGAAAATAAGTATCAACCTTTTGTCCAACTCCATTAATTATTTGAATAGCTCTAGCCACAGGAGCATATCGACCTATGTTAGTGCGACTGGTGGGAACCTCAAATAGTCTCTGCCTCGGGCTCAGCCTTAGCTTTGTATTTGGGACGAGCAACCTCAACGAAGCCAGTATGGATGGATTGTTCTGTTTACCTCGGAAAACCTCAAACACGTACTTTGCGAGTGCAACCTCTCGCCTGACCTCCAGCTTATAGTATCGAGTGGGTAATACGGGTACACTCCATATTGTCTTAGGTACAGGTACCTAGTAAACTTGTTTTGCATCTTCTCCACCATGAGGCTGTATTTCACCTCATGAGGGTTCCAGATTATAGCACTCGTCTCTAATTGACTCCTAACCAAAGCATTGTATAGTATCTTTATTGTTGCTATACTTTTAAAATCCTTTGTCTCTCTCATTACGAAACCCAAACTTCTGTAAGGTTTAGAGCAAACCTTCGCGATATGCTCCCTGAATGACAAATCTTTGGTCATAAGCACACCCAAATCCCGGACCGATTCAACACGAGGCATGACACTGTCTTCCATGTGATATCGATGATGCACCGGAGACATGGCACGCGTACAAGACATTATATTGCACTTGTTGACATTGAAGAAGAGTTTGTTTTTCCGACTCCAATCAATTACCAGATCAATGTCATTTTGTAGGCGCTTACAAACCTCATCATCGACCACACGTAGAAAAAGCTTGAAGTCATCAGTTTAAGTCATAAGTAGATCATTAATCATTAGAATAAATTCTAATGGCCCAAGGTTGCTACCCTGGCTTACACCAGATAGCGTGCGATATTGGTCCGATACATGTCCACAATAGTCGACGTATTGCCTTCGGTTCCCGAGATAACTCGCAAAAAACTGGAGCAAATCTGGCGTGAACCCTGCCATCGCAAATTTGGTTAACAGTATGTCATTATTAACGCTGTCAAAGGCCTTTTTGAAGTCAAAATAGGCAATATCCAGCTGGGCACCAGCCTCCGAGTCGAGGGCTTGTGTAGCATAATTCATAAAACACATGAGGTTAGAGCTAGTACCACGACCCGCACGGAATCCATGCTGCTCATCAGAGAAATGTGCACTCACTTGTGAAGTTATACTTGCAGATAACGCGGACTCAAAAACCTTTGCAAACGTAGACAATATTGCAACAGTTGCAATACTGCATTTAGTTAATTTTAATTTAAAGGAAATATTGAAGTGTCAGAAATATAAATGGAACCAGTAATAAAATACCATAATTTATATTAGAACATTTATTATAAAGTTATTAACAAACAATTATCAATGTCAGCCAATACGGCAATAAAATTAGAGTGATAATTTCACAGAATTTATTAATATCTACTATTACAAATGTTTTGACCGTAATTATGATTTCTAACAGGTCGCAAGTTCCGTAACTAATTCAAAATTATTATTAAGTCTTAAGGTATCAAGATAAAACTGATTTTATGAGCTTGTGTTATTTTACAATAATCTCAGAAATGTATTTCAAATGAAAATTCTTATTTACAGACAATAGTTTATTTCTTATTACCTAGATACTAGATCATTTTAAAACAGTAACACATGACTATATTTTTGGTAAGACAACAGTATAAGGAGCAAACACTCTGAAATGAGTTGAATATTGAGCACGCCCAGTCACTAGGATCACATAAGAATATTCAACTGACTTTCAGAATGTTTGCCCTCGTCATTCCAAAGTAACGTTCTATACTAAATTAAAAACACTACTGTACATTGCTATTGAGCCATAGTTGTGTACAATTAAAGGTTAGTAAAAACAAAAAGTTGTTCAAGTGCATTGGTGCATAAGTATGTAGTAAGAAAAGATTCTAAATGTTTTCAATATTCACCACCACTATCAGAGTTCTCAGCCCTGGCCTTGTATGTGTCCGTATCACTGTCACCCGAATCACTGGAACTATCGGATATCAGCGTTCTATTACCACAGGGCACAAATAACTTCTCCTCATCATCATTTGTTTTCTCATTCTCTTCGAACTCCTGTGTCGAAACTTTTTCGTCCTCCGGATCAATGTTACTAAGATGTTCCAGATCTTTACTGCTGTTCACAAATAAGTAATCGCTATCATCCTCATAAGCATTTGTTTTGTTTGCCTCTTCGAACTCTTTTGGCCACACATTATTTTCTTTATAACATTGTATAGAGTTTTTGTTTATTATTTTCACTATTTCAGCTTTTACTTTGTTTCCTTTAGGTATCGGTTCAACAACGATATATGATCCTCTTCTCACCCATATGGTTCTTCTGAATTGAGTTGGCATGGATACTAAATATTCTTCACCAGTTGGAGTTATTACCTAGAAAAGAAAAAGTAAACATAAGTATTTATTTATTTTATAGCACACTTCACTGCATTACAGTTTCACAATTAATAAAAGTGTTTGACAGCCAGATAAATGATACATCTACTACATTTCTCAAATTAGTACATTAAACACTTTGTAACATAATAAATAGTAAAATTAATTTCTTACCGCATGTAAATTTCTTCCTCTGTTCTTCAACACTTTCACAATGCTTTGATTCTCCTTGGGTAGTAACTCATCATCTTTCCATGTAGTAAGCCTCATTAGTTGCTTTCTTCTAGTTATCAAAGAATACATGTTTGCAAGATATAAAACACAAAACACACTCAGAACGAAAGATCTCAAAGTATTAAATACACTTGAGTATATTACGCCTTTAGATTTATTTTACTCGTTTGCAACAAACACAGCGAAGAGCGAGCAATGCGTGCATCAGCTAGTAACGCTAAACACAGAATGAATACTTCTCACAGAAATGCTACGCACGTAAACTTGTCCGCGTTACCTTGCACCTCGCCCCGCTTCCCCGCGCGTAGCCCCGCGGCGCCCCGCGTTCGCCTAAGTAGCTCTGTACCGATAGCAATAGCACCTTTGTTACCGCTACTTCATTGCTGGCTGTTTATCTAATTGTTAATTATTTCATTGTTTTTGTTAAGATTTGTTGATAAAAACTTATCAAACCACAAAGCTAACAAACTTTGAGGTTTGATACTATATATGAGTGAGATACCACCCCCACACCATTGATGTGATTTTAAATTGTCTTATTTGAAATCGTGTATGTTCTAGAAATGATTTAGAAATAATAGATATTATAATGACAATAGAAGTAGCATTATAATTTTAAAGGAAAATATCATGTTTTTTTTCTATATGTATTTCTTTAACAGAACTTTAAACCAATGGACCCTGGTTGAATAACAGACTAACAGTAAAAGAATGTTTTCAGTTAGTCGCGTGGTAAATAAATATCTATAATACTTATGTTTCCGCAAAACCACTTTAAGATATTTTTAAAATTAGACAAGGCTTAAGCTTTAAAAATCAATGTAGGTACTTGATCAAATGCAACGATATTAAAGTAATGTTCTTATACTGTGGTTAACAATCAGTATTTCACACTGATTGTTAATTAGCGTACTTTTGTGACAAATTATTATATTAAAAATGACGGGATGGTACAAAAGACGCGTTATCGTTGATTTACGGGATAACAGAAGAAACAGTATTTACAGATAACAGATAATTTACAGATAACAGTGAGATTCAACAAAATATTTTATAATTTAGAGACAATAAACCTAACCTGTAGCATAAATATATGTAACATGATTCTTATAAACTGCCCGTGTGAGTTTTATGATGATTATAATTTTATGTTGAACAAGGATATACTTAGCAACAAACAATATAGAAAAGCCTAAATGAAATATATCTATACAGATACCTACTAACACTAAAAGAATTTAAAGCATATACTCCCACGCTTTCAAAAGCAAGTTTTGTTTACTGGTATTTAAAGCTAAGTATAATGATGTTTTGTTGCGCTACCATTCATTCATTTAACAATACAAAGCTCATAGATAGTCTTATCTGTCGAAGATGGTGTGTCGTGTGATATAGCCGCTTAGAGATAAGGGTGCCTATTGTTTCTTTAATTATGTCCTTCGTATTTCTAGGAACAATAACGAGTAGGTACTAAGTATTATACCTAGGGGTATTAAAAAGTGGCATTGCACGTGGTATTAAAAATGTAGCCAAAAGGCTTGATAATTGTTTGGGCTATATCAATTACAAGAACAGCGTGTTTATTTTAGTCTACTCATTAGTTTAGTTTATGTTAGTACCTAATTCAGCGAAAACCTATTTCGAAATATTTTAAGGGTCGTTACTTTAATAAGGTCTTAGATATGATGAGGTCTTAGGTAGTGGGGTTAAACTTAAGTTTTAACGATATTGTAAACTTATGACATCTACCTAATTTTAAATTTCTTTTAAAGTAATTCCTTTGTACACATTATTAATATTGTAAGTGTTGTATTACTACGCCGGTAAAAATCTGAAAACATATTTCATACTGTGTGTTATAAGGCTACCGTGCATTACTTTTAAAAACCGTTAAATAAATAACTAAAAAATATAAAAAATAATAATAGAGTACTTACAAAACAATACATTCTCTATTTGTGAAGACAGTTTAGTAACTTTATATGTATAGGTACTTCTATGTTTGTAACGGCGACACAGTAGAAAATCTTAGTGTGGAAAACAGTTTTTAAAAAAAAAAATTCAAGCGATACAATATTGTGTTTTTTTTAAGTAATATAATATAAATTGTATATTCTAGCCAACTTTAGCGGAATACACTTCAATAAAGTATGGTGTTAAAATATCAACTTATGCTTATGGGTAATACTCAAAGCTAACAGTGCAATCGTAACTGAAATACGTCTTTACTGACAAAAATTTACTGAAACAATAAAATCATTAACAAAACAATTAGATAAACAACCAGAAACGAAGTAAGAGCGCAGCGGTAACAAAGGTGCTATTGCTATCAGTACTGAGCTGCTTGGGCGAGCGCGGGGCGCTGCGCGGGGAAGCGGGAAGCGAGGTGAAGACTGGGACGAGTTTACGTGCGTAGCATTTCTGTGAGAAGAATTCATTCTGTGTTTAGCGTTACTAACTGGTGCACGCATTGCTCGCTCTTCGCTGTGTTTGTTGCAAACGAGTAAAATAAATCTAAAGGCGTAATATACTCAAGTGTATTTAATACTTTGAGATCTTTAGTTCTGACTGTGTTTTGTGTTTTATATCTTGCAAACATGTATTCTTTGATAACTAGAAGAAAGCAACTAATGAGGCTTACTACATGGAAAGATGATGAGTTACTACCCAAGGAGAATCAAAGCATTGTAAAGGTGTTGAAGAGCAGAGGAAGAAATTTACATGCGGTAAGAAATTTATATTTTTTTTTATTATTATTATGATGCAAAGTGAATAATGTTTTAATTTGAGAAATGTAGTAGATGTATGATTTATCTGGCTGTTGTACACTTTTTAAATTGTGAAACTGTAATGTTGTGAAGTGTGCTATAAAATAAATAAATACTTATGTCTACTTTTTCTTTCCAGGTAATAACTCCAACTGGTGAAGAATACTTAGTATCCATGCCAACTAAATTCAGAAGAACCATATGGGTGAGAAGAGGATCATATATCGTTGTTGAACCAATACCTAAAGGAAACAAAGTAAAAGCTGAAATAGTGAAAATAATGAACAAAATCTCAATACAATGTTATAAAGAAAATAATGTGTGGCCAAAAGAGTTCGAAGAGGCAAACAAAACAAATGCTTATGAGGATGATAGCGATTACTTATTTGTGAATAGAAATAAAAAACTGGACCATCTTGGTAACAATGATTCGGAGGACGAAAAACTTTCGACACAGGAGTTCGAAGAGAAAGAGAAAACAAATGATGATGAGGAATTATTTGTGCCCTGTGGTAATAGAACGCTGATATCCGATAATTCCAGTGATTCGGGTGACAGTGATACGGACACATACAAGGCCAGGGCTGAGAACTCGGACAGTGGGGGTGAATATTGAAAACATTTAGGCAAATCTTTTTACTTACCATTAATTGTAGGCGACTATGGCCCAATAGCAATGTACAGTAGTGTAATAAAATTAGTTTTATCTTGATACCTTAAGACCTATTAATAATTTTAAATTTGTTATAAATCTTGTGAGTAATTGGAGATCATAATTGTGGTCCTAACATTTGTAATATTAATAAACACTGTGGAATGTTTCCGCCAACTTTTTTACATATTGGCTGACATTGATATGTAATCGTTTGTTAACCACTTTATAATAAATGTTCTTAATAAATTATGGTACTTATTTAATTACTTATTCCATTACTATTCCTGACACTTCAATTATGTTTTTTAATTAAATTGGCAAATACTTTAAGAATTTTATATTCCGGTAAGTATTTAATTTTGAGAAGGCTACATTCTAAAGTTATGCAACTGAGTTAGCGGGATATTTTGCTATTCAAACAATCACTAATAAGAATCTAACATGACACAGCTCATTGTAATAATGCTATTGCTTATATTGCTGTGCAAACAAAAGCTGGTGGTAGATTAATACCAATGGGTAATCATATAGTAATAGGAATACTGAAGCTTTACCGCTACTACTCAAAACGATAGCTCTATCTAATTTATAAAAATCATAAACTGGACTAGCTGTATCTTAAGATTTATACAAAAATATCACCAAGTTACATTTTAATACAATGGGATTTTCATGTCTTGGATGCGTTCACAAACTCATTATTTCATGTATGTACATATTTACATAGGTATTTGTAGATTGCATACAAATGAGTCGCTGTTTGAATTCCGTTCGAATTCAGTCAGCCACTCCACCGACCGCAACCGTAGGGTTACTACACCTAATCTATACATATAATAAATCTGTAGAAAAGTAATTTTTGTACATTGAAGAAATTGACAAAAAAAATAGCCAGCGTGTTAAAAGATAACCAAGAGAACCCATTTCCATCATTTTTGAAATTTTTGTCTGTTTGTCTGTTTGTCTGTTTGTTTGTGCGCGCGTCACGTAAAATCTACCAATTCAATGCAGACATTGCTTATATACAAAAATTCTACGCAACTCGAGGTGTAACTTAGTTTTTGTTTCATCGAAATCGGTTCACTCTATCAGAAGATATGATTAATTTAGTGAGTTCAAGAAGTAAAATATTACAACACGCAATTCAGTATAGTACTCGAAACGACACCTTTGGAAAATTGGTTTCGTTTGGTCATTAGTTTGAAGTCCGAAGTAAAGATACTACTTGATATTATAAACAAGTAGATTTTTTTTTTTCTTTAAGTTGGGAAAATCATCGAATGGCTGCTCCCGCCTGGGTGAGGCGGGAGGGAGTGTCAGACTCTTACTGACTAAAAACCACCCCGTTCCTTCTCCTGCACGTCGAGCCGGAACCCCGGTTACCCGTTAGGTTCTCCGCGACTCCGAATCGGCATCGGCCCTGGGGCCCATTTGTGGTGATCTGATGGCTCTTTGAGGCGCGCGCGGAACGCGATGCGCCGTACGCTCGGGTTTGTTTCTGTTTGGACGGGGAGCCACCCATGCTCACCGTCCGCAGGCCCGCGCTTACAGTGGCCGGAGATCGTCCCGCGATCCCCGACGCCCGGTGTGTCCTTCGCGATGGCTGGGTTGCGAGGAGGTAGCGCTTCGCTACCTCACGCGTCCCGCCTCCTCCTTAGCTAGCATGACTGCTTCGCATAAGGAGCAGACGGCATCCCAGTCCCCCTCGCTCCGCATCATGGCCTGCACAAGGCCGGACGCGAGAGGTCGCCATCGCCGATCACTTCCCTGAGAGCACGGCGGTGCTCAGCCCACGCAGGGCGTTCTCCCACTGTGTGTTCCACCGTGTCCTCAGGGCGGTCCTCGCAGTGATGACACCCGGGCGTTTCCTCCCGCCCCATCAGACACAGGTACCTCCCGAAACTTCCATGTCCGGACATGGAAGTTTCGGTCATGTCATGTGAGGATCTGCGTCAGGCGGTAGGTGAGGACGACGTAGCGTCTCTCAAGCCGGTCCTCAAAGAGGGGACTTATCGCTGCAATGGCAGCGAGCCAATTAT